CTCTCAATGCTAAATCCCAGCCTGCCCACAGTGTCGCAGTCTCTACCCCCTGCCTTAGATGCATCCTCCAAATGACGCTCACCCTTTCAATGAGATGCAAATCACTGACAATTCACTGACTATATGAGAAAAGCTGTAAACCATTTTCACCCCATAATGCGGGCACAACATTGAGAAGTGCCTCCACTCAGCCTTAGCTTTTGGAGCCAGGCCTGGACTATCTCACGTTAGGATTAGAAAATTGTTTTTGAAGTCTTTAGAAATTGAGATTACATGATTTAAACACTATTCCTGCAGAATAAACTAACTTGGAGCACTGTGATTTCTGACTCCACAAAATCAATATTGCAAACCAGCCCATTTGGATTCTTCAAATGCAGGTGATAATAAAGTGCAAGCTGCATGGAGCAACCAACCACCCCTCCTCCTTGCTGTCCTTAGAGCACAGCTTCTGCTGGCTAGTATCATTGCAAGATGTTTCCATGACTGTATCAGAGTGCAATCTAGAATCAGATTTCATTGCTGCTAAAATCTGAATCTGAGCAACATGCATATTTTCAGCATACCTAATTCATATGTTTCTTGTGTGTTTATTTGGCTTCATCTATAAAATGTTATTGGGGCAGAAAAAAAAAATCCTAGCAATTAGGGTAAATGATCACCTTACTCTCTGTTCTCTATTTGTGGTTTTGCATGTGGTATATTTGTGTTCCAGTGTATGTGCAAGCAAAACACTAATGTCTCATCTAAGTTGTATTTATAGCATGTTATTAGACAGTAAGTCTGAATCAGCCTGGTATACAGAAATGAGTGGATGTCATGTTTAATCCAAATTTAGATTTTTACGCTGAAAATGGAGGCTGCGATAGAGTTTCTGGCTCAAATAGAAGACTACTTTCCTGTTCATCTTCTTTCCCATTTTGTACATTGTGTGTAGACAGTATGGATTTTGCCTTGCTTTTATGTTTGCTATATTTCTATATTAAAAATAAAAAAATAAAAAAATGCCCAAATATGACTCTGTAAAAATGGAGTCAATTCTTGTGACAATGTGACAAAAGCCTTAGGTTTTGCTGTGGAGCACGGTGCAGGGATTCCAGACAGCCGCTCTCCCCTGGGGCTTTTCAAAGTCTGTTGGCAGCTTTATTCTTTCAAACAGGGTATGTCCCAAGTTTGTAGCCAGAGAATCCAACACAGTCTATGCCAGTTGGATTTAAAGCCTGACCATCACCCTCAGCCAGTACTTATCCTGGGGAGATAAGTGAGTTTTTCATTCAAATGGAGGAGTGTGGCAAACCAGTGTGATCATGTTTTAAACTGATGCAAACCATCAAGATTCTTTCACTAGTTTTATAATTTATGCTGTAAAAAATTCTGTCGAGATTAATGAGGAATTTTATTTTGACCATATCTTGTCCATGAAAAGGCATGTGTCAAATTGGTGTAAATAAATAGGTTTTGTACATTTTCTCCCCTCTGTTTAGACAGAGTTATTATTTATCCTGTTTGTGTCTCCCATCTGCAATATGTGTCCTCAAGATCACTCACTGATACTCTTCATGTGTGTCTAGAAAGTCTTACTCTGAGTTTACTATGGCTATTACAAAGACAAACCTTACTCAGGACCTTCCCTCTGAAGCTCCACACTGGCAAGGGCAGACTCACATTTCTAGAGGCCTCTAAAGTCTGGGACTCACTTCTTCTTAATGGATATCTTGAATTTTTTTTGACCACATCATTAAAAAAACACCCTCTCTTTTTTAACTGTATCCTAGCAGATCTGCAGACTGTCTCTCTAGCTACTCCTTTTATTAGCTGATTATATTAAATTATCCCAACTTAATTAAGAAATAAAGGTTATGCAGTCACTGTGTCTATCTTTGTGTTAATCTTCCTGCCTGCTTCTCTGGCTGTCCATCTCTAAGTTCCTTTTTAGTGGAGGCAAAGTTAATTACTGTCCTGTAATTGGGATAGAAGAGTCAAATTGATGCCTAGCTTGAGGAAAGGAAGCAGAATTTTTGTTCTTTTTATTTGGCAACAGTCAGCTGTACATGTTCATCTAACTTCTGATTTAGCATAGCACTTTTATTTCATCTTCAGGGTGCGGACCATCATAGGTTATATGGAGTGAGTTCAAGTATGTCCCTTAGGAAAAGTTAGGAAGGAAAACCCAGAAAATTTGCAGAAGGCCAGGCTTCATCACTTCAATGTGATAAATAACTTGTAATGCATTGCATAATTTTTGGTCTGCTAATGGAAATTTAGCCTGTGTTTTATGTAACAGCAATTCATCTCACGTGGACTGTTGTGTGCTTTAGCAATCTTTTTTGGCGGTAGTGGATTTGATAATTTTAAATTTTGGGGCTATGTGAAAATTATTCTGCTTTCACATCTGTCTTTCCTTTGAAAAATGAAGATGTGAACAAGTATGCCAGGCATTCTAGTTAGCGAAGTCTAACACTGATGTGAACAATTTCTTGTAACCTTAAAGGTTAGCAACTCTGCCTATATTTAGAAGCTTGTGATATATTCCACAGGGTTTACACTCCCTCTTGCAGCTTCTGTATATAGATGTGTGGCACTATCCTGTCCAGAATCCAGACAGGATCATCTATCAGCTTCCGTATCACCTGAAAAGAAAACAGTGGGACAGTCATAAATTGTAGTGTTTACTACACCACAGTGCACTGTGGATCAATGGCACTTTGATTGAATCATACATTCTTGCTCTTCTGTACAAAAAATAACACAGCCGCTTTAGATGTGCCTACTCCCTTTTTGAGCACTCTCGCCTTTTCCAGATTTCCTGACCCCATGTTGATTAAAGATCACTCGCCACACTATGCAATGGCTTTTCTGTTCAAGTGGGTCTAGTGAGCGCTGAACTGCTTTGCGAAAGCTGTGGGTATCTGTACTTTCAGTATCATGCTTTCATCAAAATAATGATAATTTCTGTAATTGTTGCTCTTGACACAAGGGGCATTTGAAAAGTGAAAATTAAATCCTGAGTTGATTTCACTGTATTGAATTAATATTTAATATTGCTTCCTCTAAAAAATAACAAGCTCCAGTGTTTTATCAGTGTTCTCCAATGAAATGCAGTCCAGCAAGTGTTCAAGCAGAATGAAGTTCGAAAATTAGAGGAGTGAGGTCATGCTATTTTATAGAACAGAAAGAAAACCTCCAGGGCAGAAAGCCCAGAAACATGCACTTGTTGCCTCTTAGAAGTGCCTCAGTATTCAAGGGGTGGCAAACTAGGCCACTTGAATGGGAGGAAGAGCAAAAAAGTACCACCTCCAGTAAGGAAGTTCACAAGAGATAGTGAGAAGAAGGATCATCCTATTTTCATAGTTCTGCCAATCCACACTTTGACAGTTAATAGCTATGTTGCAGAAGTTGCCTGGGAATTTGAAGTACTGAGGAATATTTTCTGCATTTGTGTCATATGTTGGGCATTCAGAGTGTTTGCCACTGACAGATGCTCATGACACTTGAAAGAAGAGGTACTAAACTCAGCTGGTCTACCTCCCCTGTTAATGCCCTGGGCTGGTCGTGGTGTCTATAATAACCGATTGGATTTGGCTTCCTTGGGCAATTAAAGCATCTGAGTTCCTCCCATGGTGCCATGTTTCTTCTAGTTTGGTGTGAGGATCAGGCTTACACACTTTCCAGCCAGGCTGGGACTGTGATTTCAACACCTTATTCCAACCACTCTTGCAAAGACCTTGTTAAAAGTGCAGACTTCTTCCACAGGGTCTGTAAAAATACATTTATCTATTTCACGTAACAGAAATAAAAGATATGGTAATAAAAACAGCTACATAGATATTAAGCATTATGATAATTTTGAATATCGGGGAGTTTCGTTTCATTCTCACAGGCTTTTACTGCTTTTTTATTAGGTTCTTGCAATACCTGCAACATTACTGTCTTGTAGAGAGTATATAAATTATAAGAATGAAGCTGTAGCAACTCAAACACAAATCATATTCCTCCATTTATCAGAAAGCCTTTTTCTGATTAGATTTTCACAGACTTGAAAACCATTGTTAAATACTCATATTTTATGCTTAAACTTAAGTAACAAAATAGCACCAAAGCAATGGTAATTTCTGCTGAAAGCTGCAACTTGTAACTCATCACAATAAATTCACTGCTGGAAAATAAAGAAGGATTTAAAATTGAGTCATATTGGATTTTTGTCTTTGGAAAATTTCTTTTCATCTCGATTGCTGCTAAATACTAGATATGATAACTGAAAAGTCCAAGTTTTCCCTGTCACCGTGGTCCTCTGGAGAGGTCTGACTCTATATCTTCAGTGCTACAGATGTTACTCTTAAGCTCAATAGCCCTTCACCCTACTTGTATTTACGAGGCTATGTTTTTCGGATACCGTTTCAAGTGGCAGCTTTTGGTGCTGAAGCAAAGGAACCCCTCTTTCCTTTCCTCCCTTCTCCCCTATAGTGCGTCATCCCGACACCTTGCCCATACGTCACCTGGTAGTGTGGGTGAGGTTGCCACAGCAACAACACACACTCAGTCACACCCCCTATAGCTACAGAAGTGTGAGTCAGTTTGAAAGTTCTACTAGGTTTTTATTTGTCTGTGATGCGCTGCCCAGCCATCTGCAGTTACTCGCCAGTCCAGTGCTCACAAACGTGCTGGTAACCCTCAATGGCATTACTTCCAGTATTGTCACCTCCATCATTTGGGATGAAATCTCTGCAGATCGGTCCTGGGTGGTCAGTCACCTGCCCAACCCACAGTGCAGAAAATGTCCGGTTCATCAGCTATCCTATAGACGTGCTAGGCAGTTGGGCAATAACTAAGTTGATGATACTTATTTTTCAAAGGATATGTAAAGCAATGGTAGTGAGTAACTGCTGAAGAATAAAACTGGAGTTACCTACAGCGCATTGCAAAACCTGCTTTTCTTTCTGTTAAAGCAATGAGATAAGTTTTCAGCAATACCTAACTGACAACTCTGCTCATTTTTTCAGACATGGAGATGACTTGATTGTGACACCGTTTGCTCAGGTAGGCACAATTTTGCCATATTTCTCATGATCTTGCAATTAAAGGCCAAATGGCCAAACCAGTTTTTGGTTGTTAATATTATATAAGGGATGTTTGCTTGAAACAGAAAAATACTGTCTAAACAGAAAGTCATAAGCCTCCCACTCTGTTATCTCTACCTCTCTTTTTTAATGCTTTTTGATTATCGGGAAAGTGGAAGTGCAACAACACAATAAACACCTTCAACTGATCTCTTTTCAAATACTGTAGCAGACAGTCATGATGAAGACAAATCTGTGCTCTCTGTTACTCTCCTGCTTTTTATAATTACAATTTCTCCTTTTGAACATCTTTTATGCTTTCAATAAAAGGTAATTTTTAGATGCAAGATAAGTTTTATCCAGAATACTTATGTTCTGTTACAAAACCATCTCTATTTGTTTAATTTTTCCATTCAGATTCAGTTTTATAAAATAGCAGCTCAAAATTCTACATAATTTAGATTAAAACTCCACAATTTTTAACAATAGAACTGTCTTATCATGTATGAAAAGCTAACATTGATATTCCTTGAACTCATGATGATAGGTTTTACCCTGTAATAGATAGGAATGAAAGTTAATTTGGTGAAACGATGAGGGGAGAAATAAATCTGGAACTCATATGTGATTGAAGGTGAATGGAAAGAGAAAGGTTGAGTCACAGGGCAGTCTCAAATAAGAATAAGGTGTCCAACTTCCATCTGAATATGCAGGTTGCTTTGGTCTAATGATCAGCTGTTAAAACAATTAATATTCATTTCCTAGGTTATTATATATTTAATTATATTGCAAACAGATACAGTGTTTATAAGACGTTGGCTGATCAAATCCTTAATATGAAGAATACCTTCATCTTTTATTAGCAGAGAAAAGGTTTGGGTTTTAGTTCCTCGGGAAACATAAAACCCCTAACTCTTGGGCACAGAAAACCCACAAATTGTATGGTGGTCAAGCAATCCAATAATACTTGCATAGTGTTGGGCACAGTAGAGAGACTCCCTCGCAGCTCTGCAGGGACCCGAGCGTGGGTCCAGCAAGGCTCATTAGCCTCCACTTGTAACTGGCCCTGAGCAGCCTGGCAGCTCTGCACTCATCTTTCCCCAGCACCCCAGGTGCTAAATGTCCTGTTATTTCAGATCTAACACGTACCTCAGCTGGCTTCTTGTTTTCACGTGGTATCATGCCTAGCCTGCTAACCTTTCTGAAACTCAGCCCTGCGCAGCAGGTACAGAGTCATTCATTGCAGTCCAGCAGAGGCAGAGCTAATAAGCATGACTGTACCTGAGATCACTCACCGAGGAGTCACTTCACTACCTTTGAGCATACTCCCCGTTCTCAGTGCACCTGAATATACAGGCGATTTGAGTTCAACAGGGCTTACAGAGTAGGAACTTGCAGCCAGGAAAACCAGCTACATTTTTTCATGGCCTGAGACAGCTCTGGGAGCCACACAGGTATGTTTCTCTGATAATCCTAGCACTTACAAGCTGTCTCAGCATCCTGGCACACATAGACTGAACCCAGGGAGATTGACTGAAGAGAACTGAGAATGGACTGCAGTCACTCAAACATTTGCCTTACCTTAATATGCCCAATTTTTTCTCCTTTTATGCTTTCCTTCTCGTTCCACCTTCAACTCATCCTTTCCTTTTCAATATTTTCATACTCCAGCAGGTTTTATTTGTATTTTATGTCATCCTTTTTTAACTTTTGAACTCCAAGATCCTTTTTCCCCTTCTGCTCAGTTCATGTCTGATTTCATCTGTTTATATCCAACACCTAAATACAACTTTTGTTAGTGTTACTGTACCCTGGGCATGAAATTTGATGGGATATATAATTATTTTTATTCCATGCTGAATTTCAAATATGTGAGATATTGCCTCTTGATATTCGGAAAAGATAAGTAAATGAATACTGTCTAATTAGGAAACAAACGTATTTTTATTTTTATTATCTTAACACATTTGCGAATTACCTACAATAGCTTGAACACTGCCAGTTTTTATTACCTCCTGAATATATTCTGTCTGTTACAAGCTTTCGCTGAAGTCTTCTCTCTTCAGCCTCCTACCCCCTTCCTACCTCATGTATAAATTTAAGGACCTATGAAAAGAGGGTTGTATCCTCTTTGACTCAGACCTCTGGAACCCAAATTCTCATTCCCACCTTTGTTATTCCAAGGTCAGGTTCACCAGAAAACCAGCCCAGTCTGGGCTGAGAAACAGCAATGGGCAACTACTGCAAAGAGATTCCAGTGATTAGTTCTGGGGCCTCTTCCTGTTCCCAGTCTGGTTCCAAACAACTCCTGGTTCCTCTCTGACATCAACTGAATTGCCTTTCCCTAGTTGGAGAGGTGCTTCTTATTGTCCTTACATGGTACAAAATTTGTTGCATTTATCCAACCATTTTCAGAAGAGCGCCTACGCCACATGTAATAAGACACTCCTCTACTGTCTCCTCTAGCTGCTGTCTTGCGTGAAGTTAAGTTCAGAAGGGAAGTAGTTAATTTATGTCATCTTTCCCAATATGCAAAGCTTGTAAGACCCTGCAGACATTTCCCACCTGCGCAGGTGATACCTTCCTCTTACTCTGGCCTCCTTCACTAAGTCCCCAAATCAACTGTACCACTTAAAGGAGCCACCCTCATTTTTCCTAGCAGTCTAGACATTCCCTTTGTCCTTTGAGGCCTGTGGGGGCTGAATTGCAAATGGAAAATTCTGTAATCATTTCTTATGCATGAACTATTAGGCTTGAATAGGCTATTATCTTCCAGACACGAATGCTTTTATGGTCATTTTAGAGAACTAAGTAGTATTCTATGAAAAACTTTCCTTTTCTTCAAGTAAGTCTGTCTTTAAACAAATAATGAGTTGTTTATGAGGAAAAAAAAGAAATAAACTATTGCCCTTGTATTACAGACATGTTATTGTTAAATAATGGTCAAAGGCTTCAGACAAACCAGCCCTGGAAACCTTTTGCAGTTGTTTTCCAATATCCTTTCCTTTTTCTTTCAGCATAGCTGAGCAGAGATAAATCAGTCTCACCTGTGCAGAAATTTAGACTGAAAACATTTTGTCTGTTCCAGGTTCTGGCCAGCCTGCGTACTGTACGGAATAACTTTGCTGCATTAACCAATTTACAAGATCGAGCACCCAGCAAGTGAGTGTCAATTTTTGGCCACGGAACTTTTTGCAGTGTTACTTTTTAAATGTTAACTAAGAATAAAAATTAGACGATACAGATTTCAGTCTGTGTCACCAAACCTGCATAAAACACGTGGGTGAATAATGAGTTTATTAATCCTTTGAAGGTGCTGTATTTGATAGCTGAGACGACAGCCTCTTGCCTGCTAATTGCTCTTGCATTGCTGTCCTTGCAGAAACTCGGAGAGTTTTTGTGCAATTTATATGTTTTTCCATAAATTAGTCATATGTCAAAGATCATTCAAAGATGATCATTCAGGCAGGGTCTGAGTCTTGCAAATGAACCAAAATGAGCAGACAGCTGTGCTCATTGTAAGCTACTTGCATGATCTGAACCTAGAACTCTCCCTAACTCATCCCAGATAATGACATCCCACTTACCCACAGTAGTTCATGATTGTAAATGAGACATTATAAATATGATCTTTCTCCAGTTGTGTTACAGCGTCACAGTTAACCTTAATGTTAGTTACAATGGCAAATTTTGTAATGGAGTCATTTCCCTCACCCAAAATATGTGTCTCTAGAACTTAGAAGTAATTAGCATTCCACAGATAGTTACCTACCATTGCATATGCAGTGCCACAGAAAGATATTTCCAGCCCTCTTGATTGGAATATGCAGACTCTGTGTGGTGCCTGCTTGCAGTCATCCACACATCCCTGAGCAGCTGTGCCAGTCCAGCAAATTCAGTGGAATTTGCCCACTTTTCTTCAGTGGGCAAAGCAGTCCACTGAGCTGTTTGCCCCAAATATTACTGTGTAAGGTATATGCAAAATAATGTGTGAAATGTATATGCAAAATAATAGAGTGGAAAATAATAATTAAAAAAAAAAGTATTTCAGGTCAAAGAAGCACAAGCCATGTTAAAATAACAATAACTATGTATATAAATCAAATGTCAGGCTAAGTGTAAGCTCGAGGTATGATTAGACAGGTTTTTAATGAACTTGTAAATTCATGAAAAATTCCTCTCTTGGAGTTCCCAATCTGCAGCAAGGTTTCACGGTTAGTTGTGAATTCCTTTCTTCACTAGAAAGAAATATCTGTTCTAAATTAACTTTTTCTTTGACAATGCCAGGCTATTCCAGTCCCAAATAATTTCCCAAGGAAATGTATTTTCTATTATATTGTTCAAGGATTCAGTCATCTGTGAGCTTATCAGGCTTATACCTTTTTTTTCCTCTTGTTTTAAACAGACGATCACCAATGTGTAACCAACCATCTATTAATAAAGCAACTATAACAGGTAAGAATTAATATGACTAAATTCCTCTGTGAAACCACCATGAGTTTCTAAGTTTAATATTTATTTATAAAAAAGTCTCACTGAAAACCACATTTTATAACAACAACCTTAGATTGCTTCATATCATTATATCTGTTTTATTAAAGAGGATTTGAGTCATGTGATGACTCAGATTGATGAGTTTTGGTTTTGTATCATGTTAGCTTTCTGATTTCTATCTTATTATCCTGGTTTTCATTTTAAGTTCTTTCCCACATTTTTTTTCTTATATACCAGTGTGTGACTGTGTCATGATTACCTTCATTAGTAACTTTTTGCAATGAAATGCAATAGGAAGAACTGGTATGAGGAATACATTGATGTTTCATTTGGGACATGGAGTTTTGTAGCTATACTGAGGCAAAGTTTTAGCATTACAAGCCCTTAGGCAATGAGGAGAAATTTTCAAAACTTGCTTTTCTGATTTAGGACAGTAAATTCTATTTCTATAACATTCATAGATGTATAAAAGAAAAATAACTCCTTTGTAAAAGACACTGTTATTTCTAAAGAAACATTAATTTGCAACAGGAGTGGCATTGTAAATTATGTGAACACTTTTGAAAATTTTACCCTGCGGCACTTTTGGTTATTATTATAGCAACTTGATCTTGTGTATCTTTATGGGAACACACTTTATTCGACCTCATATTTTTTACATCATGTTAATCCACGTGTTCTTACACTCTGCAATTTTCCAGGGAGTTACATTCTCTATGGTGTGTTGGTATTTGCTTTGCTTCTTGATGAAAGTATACAGACACTTACTAAACAGGCATTTATCATTTAAACCAAAACCTTAATGTTTCCAGAATTTTCAAAATAGCTCATCTTTTTAATTGTATAATAGATTTGCAACTCAAGAAAGAAACGGTACTTCAGCTCTTTTGAGGAGAAGCGTGGCTTTCTCATGCTCAATAGTTTCTGTCTTTAGGCTCTAGAATATGTTAACAATGTTAGTTTTTTTAATCTAGCCTCACACAATATTCATATTTACCCCTAAAAGACCCTATTTTAGCAATTCTCTACAATTTTATTCTCCTCGGAACTCATCATGTAATCTGAGCCTTTGTGTGTAGTGAACAGAGGGTTAAATCTTTGTTTTACGAACAGAGAAGTATCCTTCGTTAAGAAAGTTATGCAATCATACTTAATTTCATGGTAATTAAATAAATGGGATAGGGAGACAGATAAATGCTTAGATCAATTATAATCATAATCCTTTGTTAATGTATTCCTTTAAGAGGTAATTTTGGGCATTGGTTTCATATTATTCTCCATGACACCTTTCAGTTATTGATAGATGTTACGCCTATTTTTAATTGTGGGATTTGTCTTATACAACAGTCATCCAGAAGTCTGTTACCTTAACTGGAGACAGAAATATTGGAAAGTAGGGCTCTTTCTTTGCTTCTAGGGGACTAACATTAGAAAGCCTATAACACAGTAAAATCCATGACAGTAAAGAAAATGTGATATCCAGAAGAGAAGATACGCATCCATGTGAACACACAGCGAGCCTACCTTACGTGGTCTCCCATAGTTGTTTGCATGAGGTCAGCTTCTTTCCTCCAGCAGAAGCAGCTGCCCAGACCGTAGGACCCCAGACACACTCTGCTGGAAGATGCTGTTGCTCTTTTTAAATTCCCCTCAATCTGAAGATTTCCATTCAGTTAATCTTCAGAGTGCACGCTACATGTCAGGAGTAATAAATACTCTGAAGTTTTAATGTTTAGAAGGAAGGTGGTGCAGCCAGTGCTGCAACTAATCTAGAAAATGCTTCTGTGCCAAGAAATTTCAAGGAACCAAGAGAAGGCAAAGAATAGTAAGGATAATTTAATCTAATTTAGTTAAATCTGATTTCTCAGAGATGCTGCTGCTGGAATTTTTATGCCCAAATTGTGCATTGAACTGGATGAACTGGGGCTTGTGTGCATTGGATATAAGTGGCTAAAAGACTTTAATGATACAGGAAAGATATTAAGCACCTATAAAGCATGAAAATGGCTACAATTCATTTTGACTGTTGAATGGAGATTGAGGCTGGATACTCTTTTGCCCGAACGAGTTTGCCCATTCTTAGTCATAGACTGTTTTTGATATTTCCATAGCAACAAATTTCATGGCATAAGCACAGAAGTATGCATAGGTGCTTTCTTGGGGCATATAAAATCCTGGTAAAACATGTTGCACTACGCACTCTTCCAAGAAGGAAGATATATTACAAACATTTTTCCTGCTCTTCACAGAATGATTTAAAACCCTTTCAGATGCTACTAGGCTTTTTGAATTCTTCTGAGGAATGTTTGAAATGTAGCTTGTGCACATCCTTCCTGCATGTTATGGAGTACCCAGAACACTACACCAGACAGGTAGAGCCCCATCACATCATCCAGATGGCTCAGCTGGCAATCTCAGTGAGAAATGATCACCAGCATAACAAACTAGGTGACTAGAAGGCTAACTGTTACTAAACTATGTCAATGCTAAACCAGAAACGGACACTTAAGATGGAGAGCTTATGTTGCTAAGCTTCATGGAAGAAGTGTCTTCGGGAAGACTCTAACTGAGTTTTCTAACGGAGAAAAGGGAAGATCACAGAAAGCAAAAATGTAGCAAAAGGGAACTACTGCAGAAGATGCAGGGAAAACAATATGGGAAAGATAAAAGGGATTTGGTAAAACCAAGCGACTAAAATAGCAAGAGCAAAATTTTCCCATGTAGTATTTTAAGAATTCACCCTGAGGGATAAATGAGGGTGAAAATGCATTAGCAGAAAAGTAAGAAACTGTGGAACTGAGGAGTGAAGCAGCACGTGAATCAAATGTTCAAATTCTTAGAAGCAACAGCAACCATGGAGGCCTTAAATTTTTTCAGTGTAAATATGTAGGAGTCGATGATCAAAATATGGCCTGTTCTATTCAAAATATCCACACGAATCCCTTTTGGAAAATGCATCAAAAGAAGATAACAAATATCAGTGACATACTTGATCTTCAGTATCAGCCAAGTATGCTATAGCATGCTGAGTATTCCTTTTGCAGACATATTAGGGGGTAGGAGGTGGGAGCTTTTCATGTAACAGAATTCTTAGATGGCACTTTTCTTACTTGCTTTAGACATCTAGGATGTAGATATCTATTTTGTCAAGGCTCTTTAGAGTCCCATTATAGTCTGTGTGAACAGCAGATGTGCAAACTGACTTATGTTAGATGTCTTCTTTAAAGGAAGATGAGTTGCTCCCTAAAAGTGCCATCTGTCTCCCATGACTGAGACCAGCGTGGGATAAATCTCTTTTTGCTGTACAGTGCTTCCATGCATGGTGTTGTGTGCTTCAACCAGAAGAGGGGTTCCTCTCACTATGAGTCACATTTTCGAGGGAGTGATATGGTGTTTGAAGTTGATAGTAATTTTCTTAAGACAACCAGTGAATTATAAATAACGTTTCATTTAAAAAAAAAAAAAAAAGTAGCTGTGACTCAAGAATTGAGCTTGCAAGTTTTAATTTTTAACTGATAAATAACTGAGTAAGCATTAGATATCTTTCATTTACTACAGTTCTAATATCTGCCTTTCTAAATCAGAATAATTTGAATTAGCAAGGAATCATATAAGATCTTTCTTGATATGTGTCAGATTTAAAACAGATAGGAGATCTCACAATTTCTCTGTCCATTAATGACAATTTGCAAAGCTTTTATGTGCAAAGATTCTGCATGTAGAAGGAGGTAAGTTTGCCCCAAAAAAAGAGTTTCTGAGCCTCTGAATACTACTATCACAGCTACTGATTAACTGGCAAGTCTTAGTTAACCTGAAATGACAGACACAGGGTCTGATTCATCTATATACATATATTAGATAGACGTAATATCTAATTCATAGTAATAACTTTAAAGTGTATTTAAATGTAGACTACAGAAGCCCTTTATATTACAAATGCAGTGCCAAAGGACCGTAAGTGAAGACTTGTATATGTAACAAAAAAGTAATTTAATTTAATCATAAAATAAGTCATAATTGCAAAATTTCGCTTTTTAGAAGTAATTTACATTTTACAATTTTGCATCAAAACCTAACCCAAACCTATTTCATCAGATAGAGGAAAGTATATGGAATATATTATTCAATAACAAGCTATATTTCATTTATTAAAACATAGGAAACATGTGGCTTAGTTTCAGGAAAACCACTTCACATTTTGTCATGTATACAAAAAAACCCCAAAAAAACCCAAACCCAAAACAAAAAACCCCCAACCAACGAACCAAAAAAACCCCCAATGATAGAGAAATAAACTATTTACAAAGATTATGAGGCTATAAATCTAACTGAATTAATTTGCTAGTCCATGCTTTCATTGCTTATTGAATTTGAGTTACATTCTTAACATGCATAGCTTTGCATAATAAATCCAGCAGGAATCAAAATCCTGCTAATTGAATGCAATTTCTTACATGTTTTTCATGGGCTTTGTCCAACACTTTTCATGATTTATATTGATTAGCTTCAGGTTTCCCAATTAAGTTAATGGCTGTGAAATGGGATCTACCAGGTTTTTGCTAGAGATTTTATTACACTGAAAGTGTAATCAATTATTATATCATAATTAAATATTAATTAATTAAAAATTAGCCTTCTGTCTTTCACTATGATACACTTAAATATCCTTAAGCTAAACATCCATATTCATACAGACTAAACTCCTTCAAATACAAGCAGCTGTAACAAGAAAACTTTATTTTTCTAATAACAAGAAAAATAAAAAGGTTACAGATGAAAACCAGTAGATCATATCTTATGGTATTGGAAATAATAGATTATTTTGAGTGTGCATATCTATATATAAGCATATGTCTCACTCATACCAGTTCTATAACTGAAAGATTTTATTGAATAACAGGATGGAATTTAAATAGAATAAATTCTGTTCAACAAGAAGTAACATTCTTGATATGCTTTAA